CGTGACCATCGCGTCCGGCGGCGTGCTGCCCAACATCCACGGCGTGCTGCTGCCCAAGACCAAGGGCAAGAAGGGCAAGGACGAGGCCGAGTAAACGGCGCGTCGCGCCTTCGCCAGTGCTGCGGCACTCGCAAACACCCAAAACGGTGGCTTTCGCCACCACCAAACCATGATCCCCTTCACAAAATTTGTGATACTGCCAGTTCCCCCATTCTAGAGGTGTAGGACTTAACTCAGCAGCCTGCACGAGACCTGTGTTCTGACTTGACTCTCAGTCATATGTACTGCAGCTGTTAGTGCTTGAATGCCACCTTGTGCATGATCTATGGAATGGCTTCAGGCATCGCATAATGCAGGGGTGGCGTGGTACGTTGTGCTCGTGGGGATGCCACTTTGCACAGCGAGGCCACATATTGCCCCTTCCAGCGTTCCGGTACCAGCTGCATCTGCTTCCACCAGCCAAGTTCCTCACATGCAGCTCCTAGCTACAGCTACTGTGCGATACCTCCTGTCAAGCTGCCATCTTGAGGCCCCGTTGCCCCATTCCGTGCCGTGCTCTCCCTTGTGCGCATGGGGCGAGCGTGGAGCATCGAGCACTGCAGTTACTCCCGCAGTGACCTGATCACATGACTAGCACAGCGCATATGTACCGCCCGACATCCACTGTATGTGATACAATGATGATAATTGGCTTGCTATGAACTGGGGACGACCGGTCCGATCATCTGATCAGCGGATCTACTTGGCGGGAGCTCAGCCAGCACCGATTCATCAGGCAGCAATGTGAGGCTATTGCTCGTATTGAAATTATGGCTCAAGCCGTCGCGCTGGCCATACCTGAGCTTGCAGCGAGCCTTCGGCAGCTGTATGGGGGGCAACCCGGCGAAGCACCATGCAAAGTGCGGGCCCGAGTTCTGGACGCGCCCCTGGCCGGCGGTGTGCAGGGCAGCGTCAGCGACGGCGCCGCTGCTGCGCTGCTGTGCGACTCAGCAGTGGCAGTAAGCGACGCCGACATGCAGGCACTCTGCCTGCACTCTGGCGCTGATGTTGTGCTGAGCAGTGCTGCTGTAGTCACAGACTGGGCACAACACAGCTGCCAGACTACTGTGGTCTCTAGTGCACATGCAGCAGGACTGAGTGCGGCGCAGTCTGAACAGAATCAGCACCAACAAAACGAGCAGGACAGTTCGGACCAGCTTCCGACAGTGGGCCTGTCCCCCCTCCTGGCCTACAACCTTGGCCTCCTCTTTCAGCTGCAGCCTTTTCTGGGATCCCTGGGTGCCAATGCAGGCACCGACGGCACTGCTGCGGGCCAACGAGCGCCACCGCTGCCGTCGCTGCAGCTTGCGTCGCTGCCCGGCCGCCCCTGCGGCGGCAGCGCCCGGGCCGTGGGGCCGCCGGCGGCAGCGGTGACAATCTGCAAGGTGCCCCAGCCAGTGCTGGATCCTTTGAGCCTGGTAGCAGATCATTCCGAGGCCGCCGGCAGCGGCAGCGGCACAGGGACTGGCTCAAGCGGCCGCGAAGACAGCAGCCCCGCGGCGGGGCCTGGAGCGTCACCCAGCCGCCACCCGCGCACCGGCCCCGACACCGCGCGCCGGCAGCGGCAGCAGGAGCAGCAGGAGCAGCAGCGCGCGCTGCAGGACGCACTCCACGCGCACTTCTCGTCCGCGCCGCGTTGGGTCTCGGCCGGCGACATTATCTCTGTCGCTGTGCCTCAGCCCGGCTCGCGGCTGCCCAACTTCTGCGGAGACGCGGCCGGCGAGCGCGACGCCAGCGGCGGCGGAAGCTTCGTCCGGTGGTGGCTGTCGCAGCACTCAATCGTCCACTTTCGAGTCACAGGTGTGCAGGCGAGGCTCGTGGGCGGCGCTGACGGCGCCCCGGGCGGCCCGCTGCTGGTGGACCCTCAGGCGACGGCCCTGGTGCTCGAGGGCGGCTCGAGCCGCGCTCCTCTGCCCGTGGGCTTCGCGGGCTATGCAGCGGCGGGCGCGCAGCGCGCTGCCGAGGTGCAGCGGCGGCAGCAACAGCAGCAGCAGCAGCAGCAGCAGCAGCAGCAGCAGCAGGCAGGGCGGCGAGAAGAAGCTAGGAAGGACGAGTGTGGGGCGGGTGTGGCGGAGGCGGCGGCGGGGCCGCCGCTGTTGGGCGTGCACGCGAGCGCGGCCTGGCACCCCTCGCCCGGGCTTCCCGGCGTGTGCGGGCCGCTGCTGCCGGCGTGGCGCGAGGTCGCGCGCGTGGTCGCGCCGCTGATGCACCCCGCTGCGGCGGGCGTCCCGGTGCGCGCGGCGGTGCTGCTGCATGGGCCGCGGGGCAGCGGCAAGCAGACGGCGGCACGCGCGGCGGCGGCGGCGCTGGGCATGAACTGCATATCTTGGAGCTGCCTGGAGGTTCGGGTGCGCCGCGCCATGCCGTGCGCTGCATGCCACCCGCTGCATGCTGCAGGTTGCGTCCGCAGCGTCTTGCGGCGGCTTTTTCCTCGCTTGAAGATGTGGGCCAGCTGGTTGCATGCGTGTCGCAAACTGCAGCGGCGCACGCCTGCTGGGGCGCAGCGGCATGTGTGACCTTTGGCAACGCCCGCCAAGACCTCGGCGAGGGCCTCCCTCACCGCGACGAACGCCCAAAACCCACCGCGCAGTCCCCTTTCAACGGCCACACCCATGCGACCCCCCGCGACCCACGCACGTGACTGCAACGCCTCGACCCCCCAAACGTCCCCAGGGCCAAACGGACGACCGGACAGTGGCGGCCCTGGAGTCCCTCATGCGCCGCGCCTCCGACTTTGCACCCTGCCTCCTTGCCCTCCGCCACCTGCCCGAGCTCACGCCCTCCTCGCCGCCCGGCGCCGCGCTGTCGCCGCTCGGCGCGTCGCGTGTCGCCGACGCGCTCGCCGCGGCGGTCGGGCGCTACGGTGGCAGTGACGCGCGCCGGCGCGTGCTGCTGCCGCCCGCTGCCCAGCGCGGCGGCGGCGGCGGCGGCGTCGTCAATGGCGAAGCCGGCGGGGCCGACGTGGGTGGCAATGGTGTCAAGAGCGGGCAGCTGCCGCCAGGTCTGGTGGTGGTGGTCGGCTGCGCCACGAGCGCCGCCGACGTGCCCGCTGACCTGGCGCGCTGCTTCACGCACGAAATCGAGGTGGGCCTCATGGAGCGCGACGACTACGCGCCGCTGCTCGACGGCATGCTGGCGCCCCTGCGTCCCGGGGCCGGGGCGGCGCGCGGCGGCGCCGACGCGGCGGCGCCGGCGGCGGGGGTCGGAGGCGCCGGCGC